GATAAGCAAATAGTCTGTGCTGTATTTTCAGCCAGCGTGGCATTCTAGTTATTACACATATTTTGTGTAATGACATTCTTTCTTATTCCCTGTTTTATTGTGCCATTCATTGCATGAATGTTTGGCTGGGTTACTTAAGATGTGATTAACTGATTAATCACATTTTAAGTGTAACGTCTGCCAGGGGCCTGAATAACTTTAATTGTTAATACTGATGCAATTTTGTTTTGACACTACAAAGATTTTATACCATTAGGAGAGAAATTTAACAGTTCTACCTTCTAGGTGCTGCAAACACTTACACACTCTTAACCTTAAGTATATGAGATAGTATCATTTTAGTAAATGGGACTCGTCCTGAGAATGAATATAAATTTCTCCTTAAGTTTTTGCAGAATCAGGGACTTTATTTTCAGTAATTTTAGTTTTGCAGTTACCAGTTTAGGAAAATTCAAACAAAATCCTTGTCAGTGGTGACATTGAAAACTAGCATTTATCATTTAGTTCACCATAAATTTAAATTTATATTGCAGTAATTTGCATGTCAGTATGACAAAGGCTTACACCAGTTTAGAGCACCTTGGCTTAAATTTCTTTGCCGTACTTGGCCAATTAAATGGAACTTTTAGATTCAAATGGTGTTTATGTTGATGCTTAAGTACAAGGTGTTTTTTTCCCGTCTCATGTTAAGGTACATGCTGTTTTCTGAAATGTCAAGATATCTAGGTAATGGCTATGTTATTTGTGTGTGTCTGGATAAAAATATTTTTCATTTATTGCAAGGCAGGGATTTTTGTGGGTGATATATTTTCTTGGACCGCTTCACCCTGCCTCAGACCTGGTTGCCTGGTACCCCAAATCTCGACTCTGTCCCTCCCAACTATACAGCTGGTCTGATAAAAGATACCATGCATCCAAATCCTTGCCTCTTACATTTTTCCTGGACTATCACCACTGCAAAATCGCCAACACTACCACGACATATTTGAGTTTCTTTTAATTCTGTTAGGTTTTTGGTGAACTCTGAGAACGAATGATAAGATACATGGCTTTGTTTTGTATGAAGAGGTAGTTATAGTAGGCAGAGGCTATTATGGTCGATGGGTCAGGTTGGGAATGCTCTAAGACTACTGATGTTGTAAAGTGGCAAAACTAGGTTGCTAATGGGATGTGCATCAACACCCAGACAACGCATGCTTTCACTACCCGGTAGAACTTCCTGTTATCCTTCCAAGTTTTCTTGGAGATGAGGAAGAGTGAATTACATACATTTGCCTTTTTCTTCACCTGGCTCCAACATATTTCTACTGCTAGAAGATTCTTTATTGTTTGAGGCACTGCTGTCTGTATTCAATTCTCTTTGAGAAGGTTTTCTATAATGAGGTCTTGACATGGCAATAAAGAAAATAGGACTCTGAGCAAATGACCATGACTTGTACCTAAATTTGAAGACCGTCTTTGAAGGCTGATTTATACTTACATATATGAATATCTTCAGGAGCACTAAAAGAAGAAGGGGTTTAGTTGACTTCTGTCCTGTTAAGGACTATTAAGGTCTCACTCTGCTACAAATAACATTTGAATCTACATTTCCCTTCTTCCAGTCTGCATTAGTTTTGGGTTTTTTATGTTTCTAGCAGAGAAAGGGTGTAAGACCTATTCCTGATAGTTGGAAACCTTTCCAGGACATCCTTCCGGAGGATTCTGGTCAGTTATTTTTGTAAATCAAGATATGAGCAATAGAATTTGGCAGGCCTGCACTGCTTCCTGCGTTCAAGAGTTGCTTTGCTGGCTCCTCAAGGTGCCCTGCAGCAAGTTTAAAAAACTTGGTTTTCTTGCTTTTAAGGCCCTACATCACAAATGCAGAAAGCATTGCTTCCCCAGTCTGTTTAGCACTCTTTCCCCTCCCCAAACACTGCCGAACCACCAGTTGAACCAACCTGGTCCCCCTTTTATCTTCTCCTGTAAAAGTCTTTGTCATCTTCCATGCTGCCTCTTTCTCTCAGATCACCATTGCAAAACATTTTTTCAGCCCTCCATCTGTGCCTCATTCAAGTTGCATTCTGCTACAGCATTCTCTACAAAAAGATTGTGTTTGTTCAACACAACCTCACAAACAAAAAGCATGTTGAACCAGCATGATGTGTGTATTTCTAAACTGAGTGATAGGGTAATCATCTCTGTAAGCCCCCTCTTTAATCTCTCCCTCACTTACTTGTCAAGCCCATCATCCTGACTGTAAGCTTTTGAGCAGGGGTTTCTTGCTATGCAGTATAGGGAACAATTATAATTTCATTATCGTCTACTCTAGCATGTATTGTGAAAGCATTGACAGTTTCCAAACAATTTGAGCACAAGGGAGCTGGGTGCCATACCAGCATATAATAACTGGCAATCCCTGTTCCAAATAGTGAATAAACTAAAGGCAAGGCAGACAAAGTAGATGAGCGGAGCAAGCACGTTGGCCTGGGAAAAATGGAGTAATACTATTTTATTGCATTCATAAATATTTAACTAGCAATAATAATTATGGCCAACACAGCATTCAAGCCAAATATAACATTTACTGAAAACTGAAAGTGTCTGAGTTCATATTTTAAACATTTTCCGGTTTGACTAGATCTTTTTTGAATCCTGCATTAACCACTTCAGCCAGTACTGTTGGGTTCCATGGTTGAAATGGCAGTATCCATCTTTGGTGCTAATGACTAGAACCTATATTGGGGATGGGAAAGGGGGATATCTAGACTGACCTCTTCCTCTAGATGCTTCAAGTTTGTACCTTCTTGAACACTGGATCTGTCAAAGGAAATGATACATCCTGTCCTTTTAAAAGCAGATTTACTAGGTCTCTTTAAACTGTGCTTACAGTGCACTGAAGAGTAGCATCCTTCAAAAACAAAGGAAATCAACACTCTCCTTTATAGCTTATTGCATTTACGTGTTTTGTTCCTTTCTGGAATACTTGGTAGATAAATAGGACTGGAAAGCAGATGAGGTCTTAACTGCACTTTTGCCTCTAGACCAAAATGGCTACAACCTGGCTATATTAGGTTACAAATCCCATACAAGCTCCCTGATACAGCACAATTGCTTCTGGTGCAGGGGTGGGCAAAATGCACCCCACGGGTCAGATGCGGCCCGCCAGGCCATTCTATCCGGCCTGCGGGGCCCGTAAAATATTTAGAAAATTAATATTTATCTGCCCTGGCTGCCTGTCATGCAGTCCTCGATGGCTTGCCTAAACTCAGTAAGTGGCCCTCCGCCCAAAATAATTACCCTCCCCTGTCCTAGCGCGAGCAGATATCTGCACCGTTTTCACAAATGGGGATGCAAAGCTGTTATGGTAGGTTGGCTATGCCTGAAAATGTTTATCTGTTTGTCTTGCTTGTACGTGGCTAGACAGTAGACTCAAAGCAAGAAGCCATCCCTTCAGTGCATTAAGGGTGCATAGGAATTTCAGTGATAGGTGGCCTCTCTTTGGTAAACCTTTCCCCGGACAACAGATAAACATGTTGAGAGAGTTTCCCCGATGAAACATAAATAAGTCTGAGATAGGGAAATCAAAGTAGCACTTCTTATCACCTGGATCTGTTTTATCAGGCTGGCAGTAAATGAACCTCTGCACTTCCAGCTTAGTGCAGATGAATACCAAAGAACCAGGCAGTTTAATTTTGGCTCAATTTAAAACAAAGAAACATCTTAACATTAGCCAAGTAGAAGAGGACCAAATTTTGAAGGAAATAAAAGAAGTGTGTAAGAACTGGAAAGTATAAAGAAAAACGAACTATAAATACGATGTGTCGATTATTTGGTAGTTTATGGTTTTGTTTTAATCACCTTCATGGGGTGGGGGGGGCAGGTAATGATGGAAGGAAGGAATCCTATTTGCTCACCATCACTTGTTCATTTTATTCCACTGGTCTTGGGGTGTCTGACTTCTGCACTAATGTATATTTGGTAGTAATTACGCTACAGTTATCATAACTCGTAGCTTGATTCTTCATTTATCATTTAAATAAATGAGACTTCTCCCACCCTCCTCATGCCATCTGATTTTCATACCATCAGATTCTGTTCACGGATTATTTTGTGCATGTGTGTGTAGAACCTTTTCTTCGAGTGGAATAAAATATGGAAGATTAAAATTCAGCAGTATTATTTTCCCTTATCTTTTCATAAAGGGTTTCATTAATCCTGCCATAAGATCTCCAGAAGGTGACCGGAGGGAATATGTACTTTGATTAATATTTGTTTAATGCAGGATTATCTATATTACTCAGATGTTTTATTCACATTAAAACTGTGCCTATCAGCTCATTTTCAGGTTGACTAATCGGATATAGTTGAATGAAGAAGATGAACAATTAGTAGACTAAGTGACTTTTAAAGTATGCTGAGGGGCAGAAAAATACAATATACAATGCACCTTGTCTTTCCTAATACTCTTATGACTTAAGCTGGTCAGACAGTGTAGTAAATGATGCTTTCCATGGCAGAGTTTTAATTTTGCTAGAAAGCCTCCCCAATGCCAACATTTAGATTTCTTTTTTATTGCATCACCTCTGGGCAAAATATTAGATTTTTCTTGCCTTATGGATGAAGGTAAATTGAGTTGAGGGAAACATTTAAGTCAATATTTCCAGGCAAAATGTGGAATCTAATTAGTCTCATCATACTTGGAGCTTATTGCTGAAAGTTTTTTGGCAAGTAATTCAAATATTTTATTCGTGGATATAGTACAGAATCTCATGTAGCCTGAGCTCATAGATGAAATGAGAGCACAAGTCATTTTTCTCCAGCCCTGTTCATTGGAAAAAGATGCAAGCTGTAAGTGAAGCAGCTTGTTCTGTGTTAAAGGATGAGAAAACAATGCAAAATTTAGAAGCAGTTGGACCACTTTTTCTTTTGGAGTGACTTGCTTTTGGAAACTGATAGTAGCATTGACAACCATAACACAGGATATTGCATAACTCTGCCTTTCTCTTTGTGTCTCACAGGTACCTTATCCCAGCCTTGCAGAGGTCTGATGCTGGGTTTTATCAATGTGTTGTGCGAAACAGGATGGGAGCACTCTTGCAAAGAAAATCTGAAGTCCAAGTGGCATGTATGTGCGAAGAGACATTACCGTGTCATTTATTGGCAAACCAGTTAATTTCTTATATGTAGTTACCACAGAATAATAGTAAAAATTTGTCAGTTTATATTCAGAGTCATATTATATATATATATATATATATATATATATGAGATATTTTAAAATACCATAACGCAAGAAGTTTTTTGTTGTCTGCAATCATCTGAGAGAGAAGTTCAAACACATATTGAACTGCACATATTGAGACTTAAGGAGAGGTTTCCTATGTTTTACCTTCTAAATCCAATGGAGGGCCAGTTATTGGGCTGGTTTCTTCCTCATGTATAACTGTGGTGGATATAATGAGACTGGGAGAGGCGAGGGTCCTCTTAGAGCAGTCTGAGGGGAGAGACAATGTTTCGGAGCTGTACTGTAGCAAAAAGGCCCCTGGAAAGAAACAATGTCACAAAGTATGGAAGGGGGTAATGGAAGGAGTTTACAGATTCAAGTCACTCGTAGCTGGGATTTCAGCGTGTTAGAGTTAATTAAGAAACAAACTTTGACCATCTGGCATGTAACAAAGTGGAAATCCGTGAGGAGACCCAGGAGACCTGATAATACTTTTGTGATTGTGGCCAGCAAAGAGATGGCGCACGCTCGCACATGTGCATGCACACGCACACCCTCCCTTTCTCCTTCTGCCGCAGAATCCCTACCCCTGTCCTAAAGACTGATGGGGAGTCGCCTTCCAGTCTGCTCTGCCATTACTTCCTAGCTGTTTGCAGAACATAGTTTGAAAGCCACTGTTCTACAGAATTTACACCAGTGGTCTCCAACCTTTTTAAGTAGATCACTTCTGGCATTTAAAAGCAACCCAAGATCTACCATGCACTGCCACCCTACCCCCCTGTCCAGCAGGTAAGTCTGTGGGGAGGGGAGGGGAGGGCAGATCAAGGCAGAGGGAGAAAAAAATGATTTGGGGCCATGCCTCCCCAGCAGGAAAGTCCTACCTGGCCAGGGCCTCACTCAACTTACCGCTGCTCTTGCCTCTGTGGCACTGTCCCTCACTGCGGGGGCCTCGATCTAGCTCCCCTACCCTTCCTTCCCCTCCCCATGGACTGACCTGTTTTGCTGGGGCGCGTGCATGCATGCACGCATGCACTCAGCCCCCCACCCCAGCCTCGGATCGACTCTAAGACGCTCCAAGATCTACCGTAAGAGGTTCTGAGATCTACCGGTGGATCGAGATCCACTAGTTGATGACCACTAATTTACAAATGTGACATTTATTCCAGAATTCAATTTACAGTTCCAGTCACAGATTTATATTTTTTAATTCTGAACCATATTCAACGTCCACTTTCCTTCTGGTAAACTGGATGTAGCCAAGGGACTTCTTCATTATCTCTAGGGGAATAGATGGGAGTTGGCCTAATTTCTAGCCCAAGATGATGCCCCCTGTGGCTGAAACAAAATGTCTCTACCTGATAATTCTCTCTCTCCATTTTCCCAACCTAAAAAGAGGCAATAGCAGGCATGTGTCATGTTCTTTAATGGCAACAAAAGGGTAGGGGGAGACAACCTGGAGACAGCAGCTGGGCATTAGAATAGCTCCATATTAGGCAGGTTATCCAGGCTGACCTGGACAGGCTCAGCAAGTGGGCGGACGAGAATCTGATGGTGTTCAACGCCGATAAATGCAAGGTTCTCCACCTTGGGGAAAAAAAATCTGCAGCATCCTTATAGGCTCGGCAGTGCTATGTTGGCTAGCACTATGGAAGAAAGAGACTTGGGGGTCATCATTGACCACAAGATGAACATGAGCCTGCAATGCGATGCGGCGGCTAGTAAAGCGACCAAAACGCTGGCTTGCATCCATAGATGCTTCTCAAGCAAATCCCGGGACGTCATTCTCCCCCTGTACTCGGCCTTAGTGAGGCCGCAGCTGGAGTACTGTGTCCAGTTTTGGGCTCCACAATTCAAAAAGGATGTGGAGAAGCTTGAGAGAGTCCAGAGAAGAGCCACGCGCATGATCAGAGGTCAGGGAAGCAGACCCTACGATGACAGGCTGAGTGCCCTGGGGCTCTTTAGCCTGGAAAAGCGCAGGCTCAGGGGTGATCTGATGGCCACCTACAAGTTTATCAGGGGTGACCACCAGCATCTGGGGAAACGTTTGTTCACCAGAGCGCCCCAAGGGATGACGAGGTTGAATGGTCACAAACTACTTCAAGATCGTTTCAGGCTGGACATAAGGAAGAACTTCTTTACTGTCCGAGCCCCCAAGGTCTGGAACAGCCTGCTGCCGGAGGTGGTTCAAGCGCCTTCATTGAACACCTTCAAGATGAAACTGGATGCTTATCTTGCTGGGATCCTATGACCCCAGCTGACTTCCTGCCCTTTGGGCGGGGGGCTGGACTCGATGATCTTCCGAGGTCCCTTCCAGCCCTGATGTCTATGAAGTCTATGAAATCTATGAAATATCGTTCCTTGAATGTATCAATGCTAAATAGATGGCCTATGGCATAAGAGGCAGGGAGCTGTTGGGAAGAGAGAGAAAGAAAATACCCAAGGGAGAGTAGAGGTGTGATGTTTCAGTTCATCACTCTTGCAATACAAAATTAATTGGTTGGTTCACAGCCAAAACTTCACTAACCAAACTCTGAGATTAAGTTCCTGAACACCACTGTGAACCAAATCCTGCAGGCTTTGCACATCTGTAGTTCAGACTGTGAAGCCTGTCAGAATTGACCTCTAATTTGATATTTGACTTTCACTTGGAAACGTTAGTTGATTTGTCTCAAATATTAGTTCTGAGTTACCAGACTTTTTAATGAGATGACTGTGGTCTTTAAATCGCTGTGTATTTTCGCTTTTTATTTCTTTGGTTAACACCTAGAAAATGTAATTTAGATGAAACTGAAAATATTTTGAAAGATTTAGACACCAGTCAGTACTTTACTCTTTAAAAAGCACATCCAACATGCATGCTTTGGGATAATATCAGCTTGTGACTTCCATCTCCTATCCCTCCCTCACATATTTGAAAATGTAGCGTTCTAGTATATAAAGCAATGGCATTATTTTGAAGTAAATAATTTATAACCAAATGAGCCGTAAATCCACTGTTACAAAACAGTGAATTCCCAAATTTAGACATATCCTTAGCAGGAAAGCTTGCATCTTAAAAGGACAGAATAAGTGCTGTTCATATAAATTAGATTAGGGCTGTCTCCATTGACAATCTTGCAATATGTAATGTTCTGAATTTGTAGCCAAATGGCATCTAATAAGGTGTAAAACATTCTATTTTTCAAGAACATTAATAACAAAAATCAAAGTAATTACTTTTAATTTAATCCTTCTAACTTAATGTCCCCTGGTTGCTATATAGGAAGAACAAATATGTCAGCATCAGTTTAAAAAAAATCAGGTTTGGGAAAATCATTGTGATTCATAATTGAATTCTCTGTAAGGTATGGTAATAAAAATTTTAGTTCATCTGTAGTATTGATCTGGCCTCTGTTATATTTAAGGAAACTTTTTAAAGCCAATATCCATAACAAGAATTTAACTTCAGATAAATAATTACTACTCTGGAAATAAAGTATCCAGGTTTACACTCACTTCATACAGGTTAATATGCCATGAAATGTATTTAAAGGCATGTCAAATACCAAGGGCAGGACTTGTGTGCCTTGGGAAGACTTTATGACTTTTACCAAATTTTAATCTTTAATTCTAATTGCTTTTGTTTAAAGCATAAAAAGTGTGCTTTGGTTTACTACAGTAGAGCACCTCAACTTTTTTTTGGCATTTTACTTTTGTATCAGTATTGCAGTAGAAAAACTTTATCAGTTCAAGTTAAGTTATAAATGAATGGGAATTGATGTTGAGTAATTTTTAAGTACAAAATTAGCTTAAAATTTCCTGAAGTGTGAAGGTTAGACTAATCACATGATGGCGAGGTTAATTAGGACTATCTATATAGCTTAAAACTTCTTTTCAAGTAGATGATCTGATTACAGTTCTAAACAAAAATTTGGAGCAAGAAGAAAACTAAAGTGCTGATTATCGCCAAATAAGTGACTTGGAAATTGCAAAGATGATTAAAGCCCATTTAAAAATAACAAGCATTTTCAGTTTTTGCTGTCATTTTGTCTTTTCTCTCCTCCATGCATCCCATCCAGCTCCAGAAAAGATTCATAGGACATCCCTTGCCCTGGCAAGATGGAAATTCAAAGTGAGGAAGCCAAAACAGTTTCCTATGCATCAACTTGTTAATTTTAAAGCAAATCTAAAATGTATATAGGTTCTTGAAGGGCAGCAGAGTAAGAACTTGCAGCCCTGACCAAGGATTGATGTAAGAGATAAGAGACAAAACAGGAGCAAGAATTTAAAAACGCCCAGTGTTTTGTAAATGGTTTCCATTCCTTCCTCTGTCCTTTAGTCCTTGACTAGAAAATTAAAAACTACTTCCAGACACCATGAGAGAGGATGTTTCTGTGTTAAAGGCTTGATTAGAAACTAGTCTAGTAATCCTGATTTGCATTCTTTAAATATACGAATGGGCTGTTCAGATGTAGGGATGGCACCAGGAAATCCACATCTACTGAAATCACTGTAGTCTTGATCCTGCTCTTGTATTCTTGTGGGCAAAATGACCCTACCACCAAGATCTGAGTCCCTGTATGGGTGAGGATAGGCCAGTGAGAACCTCCCATTTTGGCAGGTGCCACAAATTAGCTCTGCACCCTCCCCAAGTGCCACTCTGATTCCCTTCCCCTACCTGGTCTGCTGCTTGCTTTCTGCCCCCTGCCCTATTTGCTCCTGTGCTGCCTGTTCCCTCCTTGGTCTGCTGCATGCCACATACACAAGCCGCCCATGCAACTCGTGGCGCATGTACCACAGGTTGGCTACCCCTGGGACAGACCATGGCACAGCGATGGCTGTGGGTGTACTGAGAGATAAAAGGGAACGAGCACAAGACTAGCAGGGTCAGAAAGAAACATTTTGGCTAAGTACAGATGGTCAAAAAGCCCGAGGTGGAATCAGTCCAATCTTTGCAGGTTTAAGCTGCGTAGATTGGACGATTAGCAAACTGAACTGTTTGGCTGGGGACAGCAGGCAGAAACCTGCAGTGGTGAGGCAGGGGATGCTCCCACACATTTTCCCACCTACCGTGGGGGCCATCTCTGATTGGCTGCCCAGCACATGTCCCCAACCCCCTGCTGTCAGCTGAAGGGAGGGAGGAGAGGGCATCTGTCCCCATCCCCACAGCAGGGAGGAAAGGGGAGAGATGGGGAAATGGTCCCCTGAGCTGTGGTATGCCCAGATGAAAAGAGCCTTGCACCCCAGGGGTTTCTCCTCTGCCCGGCGAGCTGGGTGCACAGACCCTCCCCCTGTGGGTCACTGCCTCTCACCTGTGGGGCAGGGGGAGTGGAGGGAACTGAGTCCCTGCCCCAGGCTTCCTCTGAACTGGGGTGTGCTCATCCGTGGGGAGCCAGCATGCCCAGGTGCACAGCAACGCCCACTGTGGGGCTCAGTCGTGTTTCCCCTGCCATGGGTGAGAGGCAGTAACCCACAGGGTGGGTTGCTGTGCACCCAGCCATGCCGGCTCCCCACAGCTGGGCACAGCCAGCTCAGGGGGAGCCAGAGCGAGGGGCTCTGTTCCCCTGCATCCCCCTCACTGCCCTGCTAGGCTGACAAGCACAGGCAGGATGCAGGCTGGGAACAGAGGCTTTGCTTCCTCAGCTTTGTGACAGCCTGGGGGCAGGGCCAGCCCAGCCCAGGTGGAGCAGAGAAGCACTGGCAGAAGCTAGCCCACCTGCCCTGCGAGGATGGATTACTGAAGAGCTGCAAAGGATCCTGGGATGCTGGAGGACAGCAAACTAAGGTGATTTGCTACAGGATCTGGGACAGAAGTTCAGTAGACCGGTCTAACCTAAGCTGATTCAATCTGATACTACATCCATCCAGGTGTATCTTAAACCAGATTCTGCCATTTTGAAACCAGTGTATGTGCACTGAACTTCTGTTCTGTTACAGTTTTAAACTGGTTTCCAATCACTTATATTGGTTTGTGTGTCATTTCTGTCCCTAGCCTGAGCCAAAAAAACTGAGACTGCATAAAACATTAACGTGGCTTTTTCATTCACACAATGAACGGTTTTATGTGATGTGAGAATATATTAAAATGTCACTTTCTGGGTTTAGAATAATTCAGTGATATCAATAGGACACTTTACACAATGCAGTAGTGGTGATTGATGCACTTCTTGTGTGCACTGGAGGCACTTGGCTTTGCCTTATGCCTCGCTACACACCTCAAATCTACATTAATCAGCACAGCTGCATGGCTTGTGTCATGTCTTATTGCTTAATTACGGCAATACCAATGACTCTGTTGTAAAACATAATTATTTCTTTCTCTGACCCCTAAAAAAAAATACCTTCCCAGGCTCTGAGTGTAATTTTTCTCTGTAGATATGGGAAATTTCATGGACACAGACCAGAAAAAAACAGTGGCGGAAGGACAAGCTGCAGTTCTAGACTTCATGCACATCCTCAGCTATCCCAGACCACAAGTGACCTGGTTTAGAGATGGGCACAAGATTATTCCAAGCAGCGGAATGTAAGTTGATGTGCAGTTCAAAAAAATTAAATATTTGAAATATTGGTACGGCTAATTACATTTGCTAACATTGCTTACATGCTAAGTATGCAAATTAAGGTTTAAAGGGCTGAAAGTTATCTAGCTCATCCTAATTTTGAGATAAATGACTATTTTAAGACCAGCTCTGAAGATCCAAAGCAGTTTAACAAAATAATTCACGTGCTCTTAATGTTCCTTGTGCAGCAGTAGGCAGTGAAAATGGAGTATGGGTGCTGTTTCCTCTTCACATTCATTTCCATGGTTTTTCAGAGCTGAATGCTCATCCCTGAATTGTTTTTACCAGAATACACTAATTTAATGAATGCAGGTTATTTACTTATAAAACTGTGTTTTTATACCGAACCGTGCTTGATAGCATTTTCTTTGACAATAAACCCATAATTACTGCTTATTTCTCCGTATCCTTTTATTCTACAATGACAGTTTTATATCCTTAAGGTTAATTAGCAGTTCACCCACTCATGGCAAAGTTGTTGCACTGTGATTAGCTAAGCATTATCTCAAGGTGTACTAGTTTACCCCTTACCTAAGGCATTTATAATGGGAACTTGTTTTGTGTTTAGAGTCACAAGTGGCTGGCTGGAACATTTTAAAATACATTTGCCATCATACATTTGCCATCTATCTTTCCGTTCTTCAAGTTTTTAATAGATGTTCTCGATGAGCAGCCCAAAGGATCCATGCATTAAGAGTAGATGGTTGGGGGTATTTTTAGGTTCCAGGGGGCTGCTGAGTGTTTAGAGTTCTTCCTAAGGAAAAAAAAAAGATTCTTCTTGGTTTTTATATTTTTATTAATAAGCCACATAATTAGTTTCATATTTTTACTGCAGTCCCTTTTATACTCTTTTTTTTAAAACACCAAAAAGGAATTACAAGCTCTTTTGCAACAACTAGAATCAAAGTTGTAAAGGAAGTGGAGCTGCTGTGCAATGATTTCTGAGTACTCTATCACCTAATTTTTGCAGTATGTATTCCATGGCTGACATCATGGGATGTTAACGTATATGGTGGCTTAATTTAATACTAGATAGCAGGAAACAAACAGGAAAATGAAACAGGGGTTCCAGGTACAACTCCTCCTGCTAGGAGACAAAAGTGACTAAGCCTGAGCTACTCGTTGTGAAGAAGCTATTTTCTTCACTTCAGCCAAGGTACAAAGATTGGTGTTGCCAGTGCTTAGAATTAATCAGATCAAAAGGATTACAAGTAGCTGAAAAGTGTGTCTCTATTCATGGATCAGGCGGTGTTTGGGGAGATGTTTCTAAGGAACAGACTGACTCTGACAGATACCTTTTCGCAGGATCTGAAAAAACCAGGCTTCCCTAGACCACCCAGTATGGGGTAGGAAAGCATTCAGAGAGACCAGTGTATAGACAGTTTGTTGTTCTAAAATCCTATTTCTTTTATAGCGTGCTTTGTAATCACAGTTAAGATTTAAAAACCCTTTGAAAAGGATGTTTTTGGATCCCTGTGTTAAAAATTGTTCCCTAGCTCCAAAAGGGAAGAACTCCAGGTGCCTAAAACCAATCAGCTCTGTTCCGGTAAGCACTTACAGTGCACAGAGCCACGTAGTCTGGTACCTGGCCTAAGAGTGATAGACTTCCACCTGCGGAGAGGTGACAGCAACAGACCAAAGGGGTGCACTTGGAGGGTATAAATAGACATAAAACTGTATCAATATCAAAGCATACTCATGTAAACTGTTACTGTACAACTGTTATATTAACAGGACTTTTTAGCAACACAAGTGTAGCAAAAGTACTGCGGTTTTAACCCTGTTCTATTCATCATCAAAGTTAGGGTGATTTATTGCACTCGTATCTCTACAGGATCAAACAGACATAACAGATCAGAACAGCTGATGTGCGCTCCTGACAACCAGCAAGTCTTCCTTCCCTTTCTAAAGGAGCTAAAAAGTATGTTTGCCTATACCCAGGGAAGGGGTCAGAGGTGTAGCCAGCCCCTTAATGGTAGCAAATCTGTAATGCTTTATTTATTGGGATTCCACTTAACTTGCCTGCACAAAAGTAAGGCTTTGTGGATAGCAGCCCACTGGCTTCAAGTCAGGCCATTATGTACACACAAAAGGTCTACCAGTTTAACTAGATCAGTTTAGAAAGAGAACTGGTTAGATTGATGCAGCCGCCCTTTGTGGATGCTCTTAAATCTGTTTAAGACCACGTTTATATATCTAAATCAATATTAAGTCTTTTTAATCCTTTTAAGAATGTGTAGGCAAGTGGTTGCACTGATTTAACTAGATCAATCAACCAGTCAGCTAGCTACGATTCCCAATAATGACATCATTGCACATTATGGAGACCTGTGAAACAGTCGGTGTTCAAACTGAAGACAACGCAGGTGGTTATATCAGGCTGAAAATAGATTGGGAGAGAGCTGGTGGTGTCACATATTTCCCCATAGCATTAATGTAAGAAAAGCATGAGTAAAAACAGATATTGGAATAGACTCTTATTTCCACTAGGATCATTCTGTTGCTCTGTGGGCCTTGAAGTGGGCCTACTTTTAAAGCTGCACTCACTTCAAGTCTCCTTTGTACTGTCAGAAGGGGGTAAAGGGTGTTAGTGCAAATGAGGACCAGGAGTATTAGGTCTACAGGGATAGCCGTCAAAAATCAAAGGATTATCTGTCACTGGAATGAGGACTGAGATGGATGTGTAGGCTTTGTCATATTGTAGACATTTAAAGGATTACAAGTAAGGCATATTTTTAAGAGAGTACATATTCTCCAGCAGTTGATGAGAAACTGTTGTTTAATTTTCAATTATTGGCATGGCAGTGGGGCTTACATAGCGGTTTTAAAGCTGTTAATGTTCATTTATTTGCTTTTTTTAATGAATATTTAAATTTTCAATTTTTTTCCTGCCAGTGAATGTTAATGTTTCTGTCAAGCCTGTTTAACATTCCAATCTTAATTTGTTTCTGGGGAGCTAAAGTAACAGAGGATGTATTACTGAATTGTCATAAATTCAGGCACGACTTCATTATTTTGGAGGCATTTTACAAATATATCAACTAAGACTAGCATTTGTTCTTTGCCTTTTCTGTCACTAACCATACACTTCAGTGCGGTCTTCAGTTCTAGCAAATAGTCTTGATCTCATGATAAGCATAGATAATAGACCAATTTCTTATTCCTCTCAGTGGGTCATTAGGCTGAAAATTGTCAGTTATTTAGACCAAGGAAAAGCCATTATGATTCAGTGGATAGATTAGTCTTCACCTTCTTTCACAAGTGAAAAGTCACGATGGTAATCCTGCTGGGCAAGTGTGCAGAGCTGTGATATTTACTGGGAGGGAGTTTCCTTTTGAGATGCAGGCAATTTCTTTCAAACTGAGCAGATTTTAATTAATTTAAATGGCTGTGTAACTCATGGTGGAAAGAGTATTCAACTTTGTAGCAAATAACTACATATTAATTCTGTTGTTAACCTGTAGTTTAGCTGCTTTGATGAGATAATATTTACTTAAAGTGTGGTAAAGCTACAGGACAGAGATTAGAGTAATAGTTGTTAATTTTTACAAGCTTTTCACATGCAAATCCAGGCCAAAGACCTTTCCTTCCTGCTGAATGGAAGCACAAGTGGGCTAAGGTATCAACAAAACCATATTTAGTGTATAATGTCAAGCAGTGTCCTACACCAGCTCATGGCACTGGTGCTAACATTTCTGATGCAAGATGATTGCCGTGCTGTAGTACACTTTATTAGAGAAACAAGAAGGTGCATGTTTAAACTTTAGCAGAGTCCTGAGTTTTTTAGTCTGCCCTGTTCTAGTCTGTACATGTGAGACGCATGATAGACCAGGGGTGGGCAAAATGTGGCCCGCGGGCCAGATGCAGCCCGCTAGGCCATTCTATCCGGCCCGCGGGGCCCCTAAAAAATTTAGAAAATTAATATTTATCTGCCCCTGGCTGCCTGTCACGCGGCCCTCGATGGCTTGCCAAAACTTGGTAAGTGGCCCTCCAGTCCGAAATAATTGCCTGCCTCTGTGGTAGACTGAACTCTTTCACTTGTTTTGGCTATTGAGAGTTGTTTTTTATGAAAATCTCGATTTGGCATTTTAAAGGACTGTTTGTGGATCATCTAACAGCAGCTATGTTATTTTTGTCCTGGCATGAGATTTGTTAAGGTGCTTTTACTTGTGATTCTTTTTAGAAAAGAAAACCTGAATATTTACACAGACAAATTGGTATGGCTGCCAGGAGAGGCATAACTCATGCAAAAACCATCACAGAGGATTAGACTATTTTGTCTATTATTTTGTTCTGAAATCCTGGTTTAGGAAAGGATTAGGAAAATCTCTTATTTACAGCGCAGGTGTTCTGCTACCTGACTCGCCAACTAACGTGCTGCATCATTTCCCCTGCTGTGCCTAACTTTATCCAGCTGTTAAAGTGCACTTTGGATTTTTGTTACTTTTAAAATAAAACATGCAAGGAGCAAACTAAATGTTGTAGCTTGTGCATTAAATGCACTCTTATTTAGATGCACTTTGGATGTTGCTAATTTGTGTCCATCCTCCAGGATATGGCAGCTTTAGTCAGATCTCAAAAGTAAATCCAAGGGAGTATAGGTGAAAGTATGGAAAGTCAGTGGAATAAGTTGATTTAACTGGGCTTTGAATTATGGTCTTACATGTTGCTTTATCAGAAGACCACGCTTGAGGGTTGAGAACAAAGAGGTGATACACAGATACGCAGTTGGTATCAACAGGGCCTACAGAATAGGAGTGGTGAGGAAAAGGAAGAACAAATCGGTGCCTTCAATATGAGGAAGGTAACTGAAAAGTGGCACTGGGCAAAGACTGGAACTAGAAGTTATTCAAAGAAACATTTTTACGGATGTTTAGCTTAACATAAAAACTCAGATTTATCCTGAAAATTTGCTGTTGCCCAGGCAGATAGGACATGTATTAAGTGGAGTGCATTCTGATCT